ATATCGAGGAAATCTTATAAATAAAATGCAGCAAATATATCTATGATATTCTAATTCAAACGGTTATTAGAATCATTGTTTTTTTCGTAATATCAGCTAAAATACTCTCAAACTGACTCACAAGTACGATTTATTACCCAATCGAAAAAATCTAAATCAATAATTACTTTAAAAGGAGCAAAAAAAAAATTCTCTATCAGATAAAATCTTGAGAATATGATTTTAGTCTGTCAGAATCTAGCGGAAAAGAGTGAAAATACTATTGCAAAAACAAAATCGAACTCGAATTACACAAAAAAAAATGCACAAAGGAATAAAATAAACGTTATGATGTTTCACTTTTGCCTTTACCAATATAATCGAGTAAAGCTGTTCGTAAATAACTTAAACGTTGATCTTCTTCACGTCTTAAGCGATTTAGTTCTTGATCCCGTTTATTAAGTGTTGTTTGTAATTCACCAATTCGAACTTCCAAATCACGAATTATTTGACGATCGGAATGTTGTTGATCTATGAAAAAAAGGAAAATTAAATAATAAATTTACTTTTAATTGATTATATATTTCTCTTATACCTTTCAAATCATTTTCCATTTTTTTAATTTTATCTTTTAATTCTTCATTTGTATCAATATCTCTTTGAATAATACGTAATTTTTTTTCATATTCTGTTTTTGCTTTTTCTCGTCCTTCTAAAATTTCTGTATCTTTTGTCATAATTGTCTGAAAAAATACGGAAAGACAGTTATCGTGTGACATGTTTACAAGAAGAGTCTAGAGTATGGTACCATTTGAACAGATTCAATTTGTCTTTTAAATGTTTCTATTTCAACTGATTGAAAACCAATTTTTTGTTGTAATTCACGATTTGTGAGTAGTTGTTGATTGTAACGAGACTAAAAGAAAAACAAATTGTCATAGATTCAATGAAATATGTATATAACTAGAGAGATGAGGATGAAACAATGAATATTACATCAAAGTCAATTAAAAAGAGAAAGAATGAGGTAGAATTGATCATTTTTTTGTGGACTCTTCGAAGAAGAGGGAGTAACACTTTTCTACCCCAAAATCGCTGTTTTTAAAATAAATTTGACCCTCCTTCCCCCTGAAGGACACAACCTGTTAAAATACCGCACACAACCTTAAAATGGTAGTCACAACCTCTTAGAAAGGCGCATACAACCTCTTAACATGTCTAGACGTCTCAGTATTGAGAGTTTCATCTTTTAGCACCTTTAGGTGTTACCCTGTCAAGGTTTTTTTATTACGAATTTGTTATTTAGCATACGTCTAACTCTTCTTTTGATGTTGTAATTGCTCGTAGTCGATCTTCTAATTCTCGCTGTTTTTTTTCTTCTTCATTTTTAATACGAAGTTTTTCATGTTGAGTATTTTCTTCAAAATTTAGTTTTTGTGTTGATATTGTTGATTTTAATGAATTAACTTCCTACAGGAAAAAAAATTAAAAATAGAATTAAAATTATTTTTTGCATATTTTATCATTACTCTTTCTAATGTTGACCGTATTGTTTCTAATTTTATTAATTGATCTTTTAATATTTGTTCATTCGTTCCATATTCTTCTTTCAATCGATGAAGATCACGTGTTGTTATTAATTCAAAATCTTTTAATTCCTCTTTGTGTTTTGCTTTTAAACGTTGATTTTCATCAGCCAATGTTGATTGTTTTAACTGATGATCACGATCGTTTAATGCTATCTGTCAAAATAAAAAAATGAATGACTATTAAAAACCCTTAGAAATTCGAAGTTAAAACACTATACATACAGTTTCTCTAAGATCATGAACAGTCGATTGTAATTGTTCACATTTTCGTTCTAAATCATGTCCACGCTCAGTTAAACGTCTTTGTGTGTCTAAATTTTCATGTATTTCACGATTTAATTTTTCTTGAATATCCATAAGTTCCTAAATAAACGTAATATGAATGTGTACATTCTATATAGTTTTTATTCTATACTAGCAATCGTGTACATGAAATAATAGTACAAATGATGATGATGATAACAGTCAGGTAGTATAGTCGAGTTTTAGAGACTTTATCAAAGAGAGCGATTTTCACGACTGAATACTACAGAATTTATTTTATTTTTATTTTAAAAAATAATTTTCATTTTTATGCATACATCTTTTTCTTGTTTACATTCTCGTCTAATTTTGTGCACTAATTGTTCTTTTTCCATTTCTAATTTTTTTATTTCATTCTGTGCATCATTGTATTGTTGTGAGGCAACAGTTAAATCAGCTTCCAAAAGAGAAACTTTAGCACTTAATGCATTAAATGATAATTTCCTATCGTCTAGTGCTTCTTGTAGTTTTTTTAATTTTTCTGCAAGAGATCTAGTAATATAATAAATTTAAAATAGTTATGAAAAATATCAGTATTAGTTCAAATATTGTACCTATTTGCTTTAAGCATCGCTTGTTCTTGTAATGACATACGTGTTAGAACAGTAGTTATTTGTCGATCTTTATCATTTTGAACATTTTGCAATTGTCGTGTTAAAACTGACATATTTTGTAAATGTCCAAAATTTGTTTGACGCCTTTCCTCATTTTTAACTAAAGCATTAGCTAAAAGATAATAATAAATAAATAAATGAAATGATGTTGATAATTTTTAATAACAAAACATACCGATACTCTGCATAATATCATCAGGAATATTATTTCCAACTAGTTGAATATCAGTAAGTGTTGAATTCGATTCACAAACAGCCAATAGTGCTCGACCACCAATTAAACCTACATTGTTCCATCGTAAATCTGGTGATTGAATATAAAACTATATTAAAACATGTGATATAAATCGATAAAGTGACCGAAGGCTGGCTACTATCTACACTACTCATAGGTGAAATTATCTTAGGCTGTATTTTTAAGAGGATATTCTTTATTGCTAACTTACCTATCATACGCAGAGTCGTATTTCGTTTGAGCGCCGATGCTAGTTCAGATGCACCTACATGACTGATACTATTGTTTCGTAGATCTAATTCAATAAGACCTTTGTTGTCAGCTAATGCATCGCAAAAAACACTAAATGCTGGTGTGTCCATTTGTCCTAATTGGTTCCATTCAAGACGTAAACTAGAGAAAAAAAAAGGAATAGATAATTATTTAAGGGTACTCTTTTTGAGCTTTTCGTAGAAATGCTGTGAACTAAAAACTAAAAGTCACTAAGGCTTTATATCTTCAAAACTGATTGAAAACTCAATGGAACACTTTTTCGTTTTTGTTTCAAGCTGTTAACTATTGCCGTTTACCAGTTTTTCAGAAAACTCGGTTTTTCATTGGATCACATTACAATCCCCCGTAAATTTCATCCCATCAAGTTGAAAATTTTACCAGATGTACTCAAGACACTAACGCAAAGGTAGTTTTTTGGAATTTTATTTTGGACCTTTCTTGGTCGAATTATAGAAAAAAGACTAAAATGTCTCAAAAACCAAGTTTTTAACACTAGAAACCATATAACTTGTTAAAGACATAAAATAAAAATCCAAAAAACTAAGTGCTCCATTGAGTTTCCAATCAGTTTGGAAAATATAAAGTCTTAGTGATTTTTAGTTCTTATTTCACAGCATTTCTACGGAAAGTCCAAAAAGAGATTACCCTTAAATGCTAAAGTATAATTCATAATTACTTTCTTAATGTTTTATTTTTTCTCATTAATTTTGCTAAAGCTTCTGTTGCTCCACCATGAATATTGTTTCCCTAAGTAGTGTAAAGAAAACTAAATTTTATAATCAAAAAATTGAATATATTACCTTTAATTCAAGTGTCTTACACGTTGTATTTGTATATAAGCCATGTAGAAGAGCTTGTAGCGCTAATAAATGGATAAAACAATGAAGAGAAATAATAAATAACCTAAATTAATCTGTATGAAAGTTACCTTCACTGGTCAAATTACAGTCATTCAGTTGTATTGCAATGAAAACATAGTCATGCATCAACAGTTTTCCGAGAACAGTACATTGAGTATCGGGAATGTTGAATGAGGATAAATTTAAACTTTTTGTTTTATTATCATCAGCTGACACTCTAAAAGAAGGAAAAAAAACGAAATATTGTGTAAAAGATTCGACTGACATGCCTCTTACTTTTGAATTTCTCCGAGCAAAAGTTCGTTTGGTTCAACATTGTAACTCTTGCAGTATTCATGATATAGTTTTTTGAGGTGATCCATCTTCAACAAAAAACAAGACAATTCTCTTATAAATACGATAAAATGTTAATATCAGTATTATAGTCTTTTTCTTCTTTTAGGTGCCTAGTGAATGAATTATCAACAGAATAAAGTAGTAGTTGTTGATAAACAGACTTTGAATCTATTTATATTGCATCGTATTGAGAAAAATAATAATTCTTAGTAAGATCTTATTAAAAATTATTATGTTTTTTAATAAGATTCATTCATGGTTGATTAAGAATTTTGAATATTTTGTTCAAGTGCTCACAGAGCCGAAATCTAGTTTGAGTTTGCTGTCCTGCATTGTTCAAAACTGCAGACGAACAGACCTAAAGAACGAAAAGAAATTTTCATTTTTTTAGATGTTCATTTTAGAACGTTGACTTGCAATATACATTCTCTGAAAAGTTGCTAATACTTTTGAAGCAAGTACGAGCAGAATCGTGAACACTGTAAAATTCAGTTATATATATCTCAGCCCGCTCACTAATCGGTTTTGCCCACCCACTAAAAGTTTTACAATTCACACTACTCTGCGAAAATTTCTTAT